CGCAAGCCATGCAAACACAGCTCCAACCCCCACACCCCCAACTATAAGCGGGAACCCTTCGCTACGCATTCGGGAAAAAAACATGAGGACATTCCTGGTGGGGTTCTGGTCCAAACCTTCCTACCTTTGAACCTGCAATGGCGCCCCATCCATTTGGGTCCCCACCGCCGTCTCGTGAGTCTCTGTCTGTGTCCTGAGCAACGGACACCAGGATGCACATTGTGCGTTTGTGTCTAAAAGCGATGGCCTCCAACCTAACAGTACCCAAGATTGCACTATTCAATCTTCCCAACTGCCTCTTACCCTCCACCAAAAATGCTCAGTGTCCTTCCCATACCGTCCTATTTCCTACTAGCAACGGGATCTGAGACCCCAAACGGTGTCTCCCAAGGAAAAATACTCTTCAAGCGTGCTGAGAATTCCTGGCGATGAATCAAGGCACTGTCACTGAGGTACAACTGGAGTCTGAATATTGGATTCTGGCCGCCCAGTTGTCGACATGTGTCAGAACAAAAGGCACCCACACTTGAGGTCCTTGTCTGGAAGTGCCAGCAATTAAGTATACAATGTGCGAAAGTGCTTTGCCACCAAGCGAAACCATTCGTGGCTAGGCCTTGCTGATACCGACTGCCGGGGAAGGCAACTCGTCCAGCTCCTCCATCACGCGCCTCTGGTAAAGGACCCAGTATAGTGACATGGGAACAAGGAATTGAGAACAGGATAGAAACAGCAAATACACATAAATGAAGGCATATGATGGCATGTCTATTCCTTTTTTGTGGGGGCTTAAGTCCTTAGCTAATGTAACAAGGGGTAAGTAGCTAGTAGTAACTCTTAGTAGTAGCAAGGAAGACTAGGCTTGGAAACAGAAGAGCTCAGGCTCAGAAAAGCTCCCCCCGCCTGAGCTTCCTTGAATCGAAGAACCCCTCGCTTGATGGGTTTGGTTGCTAGACTTGGGTGAAACTCAATATTTTATACTTATATATACTGTATATAATACTAATTACGTTGTAATATCGTATTAGTGTAAATAAGCACTGTTGGTGATTTGTTTTTATAGTTTACATTCATGGCGCGGTCAAGAACCGGCTGGAGGAACTGAGGTTTTGGTGATGACGGCCCAGTAGAATTGGCAGACATCGGGGCTTCATTAGCACTTGGTGTCACCGTACAAACAGGTCTCAACATTTACAGTAAGGCAAATCACGTGCACGCTCTTTGTCTTCTCCAAAGTAAATGACAGGCCCATCAAAAAGGGCAAAACTCCCGACAAACACATGACATGGGGCTTTCTTTCAAAGTCTATGACTCCCTGGGGCCAACCCTGACGCCCCACATTGGTCAGGGAGTGTTGATTGATAGTGGAAGGCTACTAAATGTTCAAGAACTGTTGGTGCCGGTGATTGGGACAAGAATCAGGGAGGATTCTCCATCCTAGATGGTATTTTGCCATTTAATTTGTCCGTCGACTGCTATGGCAGATCCGATGCAAATCCAGTGCACACAATGTGAGACGAGTTCTCTTGACAGAGACAATTCTTTGAAAACAAGAAACTAAATACAGCGTATTTAATCAGCATACAGCATGCACCCAAGGCGATTTCGATTTCTGTTGCAACAGGTTGTCGCAATTATATAGCGTGTTTCCTTTCACTACACTCTGACTCACTAACATGGAAGTCGAAAGCCCCCTGTTCATAAAGGAAAGTAGTCTTCCAAGGGACCATTTTCCACTTCCATGTTAGTGAGTCAGAGTGTAATCATTCGGAAATCTGCCCTGCCCGAATCGGGCGTCAAAATCCGCTCATGCCAATGCATGGTTCCCCCTGCCTCAGGGTCACGTCCATGTCTTCGACAGGCCTAAGCCACCAGCCCCAACAAAAAAACCTTCCAGAACCTTGTGGCTATAGTGGTAGGAAGAGTGATTCGGTGATGCAATCCCTAATTTTGTCTTAAAATAAAGTAACAAGGCACTTCCATGTGCCTTTTGCACCGGCACCAGCGGCTCGAAAGAGACTCTTCCTAATGCAAGGCTCGCTAATTAATTGTGAGGCTCAAAGAAGAAGACAGAATCTGTATCAGCATATCAACCATGGTTTCATCATCTGGCTGCTGTCAGAAGGCAGCTTTCTGCTTGCAGAGAAACCTTAGCGCTCACACGATTTGTCTCATCGCTAAGCTCCGAACTGCGCTTCTTGAACCTGGCAAATGTCCAGAGTCCAGCTGTGAAACACAAACCTTGCGGATTCCCTGCTGTACCCACTTGTCGATGAACAAAACCAACACGATGGCAACATAGAATGGTTCTTGGTTTGGACAAAAAAGTGGGGTTTCCACGATGTGGGCGTTGGTTGGGGCAGGTCGGCATTGCTTGTTTTTGTCTGCTTACGCAACCTCATGCAATGAATGGTTTTGCTTGTTCGAAGCACCTTATGAAATAGTTTGTTTCTTGTCATGTCGACTGGAGTTTGGTGTTTGCTAAGTAACTACTGTACTAAGTAGGTAGTTATCGGGGGATCAGGGGAAGGGGAAATGCGGAAGATCTGCAAAACATTGGATTAGAGCAAATTCCATAGGAATGATCAGGACAACGCTTCATCTAAACATGATTTCCATCACAGGACACCCTCAAAACTCCAGTGGTCCTTCTTGGTCTTGGTGGTCTAGAAGTGCCGTTGCCGTTTTTTTTGCAAAACTTTTGCCGTAGTTCCGGATCCTTCCAGTCGATACTGCAGGTCGAAGACTTGAAACAGTAGGCCACGCAAATCAAGCGCCGGGGAACTTGGCCTGGCTGGTCTCAACCGCCATCTCATCCCTGCATTGATCGGGACAAGAGTAATCGGTTAAGGAGACTTCTACTGGCCGAAGTCCCCAGCCATAAAGCAGCTGCGTGTGGCCGGTGCACATGCTCTAAGCATAGAAAGACAAATTCCTTTACTTCGAGGGATCCCACCATGAGATTTCAATCATACAGTATGTCTTCATGCCATGGTGAGGAGCATGTTGCCATGGTATGCCATGGTCGTGGGCTTTGTGGTTCTCGATTTTGCTTGTGGGTCCTCGCGTTGTGTGCTGTGGTTGTGTGTTGTGTGCTGTGGTTGTGTGCTGTGGTTGTGTGTTGTGGTTGTGTGTTGTGGCTGTGTGCTGTGCATGTGTCTTTGATGTCCTTGTGTCTGTGGCTGTGCATGTGGCTGTGTGTTTGTGATTATGTGCTTGTGGCTGTGTGATTGTGCTTGTGTTGGTGGTTGTGTGTTGGTTGAGGTCCGGCAGCGCCCAGTGTGATCGGGAGCTGGCGTTTTGAGGTCCGGCGGGGAACACTGCCATCCGGAGCTGGCGGAGGAGCGGCGGCGGCGGAGGAGGAGGAGGAGGCGACGGAGGCAGAGGACGACGGCAGCTGACATAAAATCTAACAACCCTCACCTGACAGGTTGGGAACAAGGAGGGCAAGAACCCAAGAACAATTATATATAGAAGTTATACCGAAGGTCAGGCAGTGACTGAAAAATGAGGTCAAAAGAACTGTTTGCACCCCGCGGGGTTAGCTGGAATGATCAAACCATTCATTGTAGGAGGTAAAGCAAACGAACTGCCTGTTCCCATAGATCCACATAGCATAAATTTGGGAGGCGGGGAGGCCCCTTTCTTTCTTGCTGTTACACGGCAATTTCACATGGAAACAGAAACACGCCTGGGCGTGTCCTGATTCTGCCTGACTTTCTGAAGCCTGACAGGAGCCGAAAACAAGCTCCGCAAGTGGGGCCAGCACAGCTGTCGGAGGATTGCAACAAATCTCTCTCTACCGCTTCAACCACCCTCAACCACACAGTGTCCGGCCTGTTGTTCTATTGCTGGGGACGGTCGTTTGTGTGGGAGTGGTTCGGGTCACCAGCCAAAGTTTTGGGTTTCTGAGTGTCTTAAACCAAACAAACGGAAGAAAAGCCGTGCTGGAACAGTAGGGATTTAACAGAATCCGAGCCTCCGACCAAGTTCTGCCTGATCAACCCTCCAAAAGAATGTCGGAAGGAACAACAAAACGTATATATAATAAATGTTCATAACACTTTCCCTTTGCTGCAGCTCTCAAAATCGCCGCCAATTGCAATCTGGAAGAACAGTGCTGATGAGCTATCATCGCGACCCCGCTGGCACACCAGTGTCAAAAGGCACTGCAAAACCCAGAAAGCCAATGTTAACATGATCAAACAAAGAAAACAAAAACCTCCAGAACCGTTTCACCCTTTGGTCATGGACCTCGGGCCATCAACTTAGCAGCCACCACGCTGTCCCACCTGACCGAAAGCTTCTCCGGGGTCATGTCATCAAAACCACCTACACGCGGGCCGCACTCTGCGACAGTTCAGCATGCTGGACTGCTATGTTCCAGTTGGTTGTCAAAAAAACAGATGACAATAAGGGTGCGACCGTTAGGAAGAGCATTTCTGCAGGATCATTTGGCGAAGCCGTGAATAATTGTGACACCTATCACCCAACACCTATGTTGGCATGACCTCCTGATTGATTCTTTGAACCCCACCTGATAAATGTATATTATACATTTCAAGAGTGCCAACTAGTCGCATGGGCATTACTGCTAGTAACAAGGGCATTGTTACTAGTAGCAAGAAGCTACTAGTAGCAAGTGTGTACTATTATTCCGATTGCTCTTCAACCCCAACTCCCAGCGCCATGGCCAGGCCACCCGAGACTGAAGCCAACGCCCAGCAACGGAGCAGGGACAGCTCACGAGCCTAAGGGAGATCGGAGGGAGATGGTTAGGGTGTGGTCAATGACAAGGTTCTGTTACTGTATATAAACAAAACATCAAATAAATACGACCCTGTGACCCCTTCTGTTCATGCCCTACTTCCAACAAATCCAACAAATTACAAGATGAAAAAGGGTCTGATCCATATTGTTTTGGATGATCAATGTTGTTTTGGATGCTTTCTAGCCGAGGAATTCTATATAGTCCTACAAGTTTGCAACGCATCGTGTCGCATCCAGCAGATGATGAATGGTTGGGCCTGTTTCATGCATTAAGTTGTCATGAACCCTCACAGAGAAGTCCGGCTTTCTCGGATCTCGTTTTGCTGGACCAATGAATGTGTTGTTTTGCTGTTTTTAATGTCTTTGTCACTCGGAACCTTCAACTCGCAGCCCTTTTCAAGTGCCCCTTCTTGCACGTCAACATCAGCGAATACAATTGATGCAAATATGATCAAATGAGCATGTTTGAGCTGCGTCCCACAGCCAAGTGGAAGGGAGCTCAATGTCCAGGGGCCTTTCGAACAAGAAAAGCAATCTATATCATGTATATATATTGTATAATATATATACTTATATATATATAATAGTTATATATATATATATATCGCATGAGGCGGTGAAAGGACCGTCCAGCGAATCCTTCCAGCCTCCTCGGTTGGTGGATCCTGCGGAGTGGCCCTGCTAGCCGCTGCAAGGAAGGCCTAGGAGGTGCCAAAAGCTCATAAGATGTAATCCATACGTTTTGATTGGGTCCTGTGTGCAATCCAAATAAACCTCGAGCTAAGCAGCCAGTCCACAGGGCCAACCAAATGGCCTGCAGGTGCCTCCTTGTGAGTCACAGGCATACGAATCCCGGTTCTTTGATCTGAAGATTTCGGCGATACTTCCAAGGCCCAATGGGTACATTTGGTGAGATCAGTTCTTAGCCGTCAAGATTGTCCTGCAACAAAATCACAAGCCCAGATATGCCCAAACTTGGGCTATCAGAGTCAATGCCAATCATAATGAGCAACTAAGCTCCCAGCATACTCCAACAGCTGCGCACCCGTGTGAAGCATCCCCAGCACCTCCGCCTTCGAATCTCTCTTGTGGACTGCTTCAGCCAAGCGAACCTGTGCTGAGGGTCAGTGAAGAACTCAGCCCTTCTCTTGTGAATCGCTGTTGATCACTGATCACACGTGGGTTGCATCACCTGACTATTGGCGTCTAGTCTCAGCTAGTAAACTTGGGGAAACTATGTCCATGAATGCCACCTGCACACCGTATTAGTACTGTAACTTGCAGGGAATCTACCATGTTGCAGCAGTCCTGACCACGATAACTTGCAAACAATCCAGAAAGAATACACACCAAAATTTGAGTGCACCGGTCGTCTTCACTGCCTCCTTGCTGCTGCTGCTGCTGCTGTTGTTGGCGGTACTTTTACGCCTTAATCTTCTCATTTTCTTGTTCTTTCCCTAAGTGGTGACTGCTGATGTGTTTGGAATTTTTGAGCTTGAAAGTTAAGGTAGTATAAGTATAGGTATTGTAGTGTACATTCTGCTAGTGGCTGATGAAAACATAGCTCGCATTACTGAACACCCATGCTTACTTGATACGTCAACTACAGCTGTCCACACTATTGTCTTCTCGTGCATTCATCAAAGCCGGTGGCTTATGAACCCCTTATATATATAGACAGAGAGGAAATTGTGCAATCGTATAACAAAAACACGTTATCTATATACTGTATATTATATGAACGACGGACAAAACTTCTTAGTCTCCCCAAGGCCAAAAGTATTTTAGGTTAGCCCCTATTGGTTTCCAGTGTTTTGGAATGCAGGCAATAAGCCACTGTCAATGAATCAAGAAAGGTGTGTGTGTATATATACAGTATATATATAATATATGCACACGCTACTTTTTAAGGGTTGGCCCCTATCTATCGCTTTAAGGTACATGTACAGATGCTTTGTCGGATGCTCATATCTCTACTGTTACATAACTATGGTAACTATGGTATCTGCAAAGCTCTAAATGTCCTGCAATCACATGCCCATTTCACAAATCTTCACGCCTCATTCTCTTCCTTCAAGCGCCCAAGCACTGTGGCACTTTCAAAGCCAAGGCCTTCCTACAAATTCAAACAAGTGTTGGTGCAAAGTGCTCAAGAGGGATTGAAGCTGCGAAAGTCGAGGAACATGGCTGGATGAAAAACAATCAGGAAGCCTCACAGGTTGCGACCACACCTCCAGCCAGTTGCGTAGATGCCCCACATCCTCCGAAGACGAAAGCCCAAACTGCCTCAAAGGGCGAGCCAAATGGTGGGAGGCAGTGGGAGGTAGCAACGTCGTATCTCCATGTGTAATCATTGTCATCTCAATGTATCTTCTATGAACTCGAGAACCCGCAAGTTTGCAAACTAGGTGGTGAAGATGCAGAATGTCAATGGTCCAATGTCAATTCACATCTCCGGGTCATGCAGCTGCAGCGTTCTTATTGGGTCCAAGCAGCGGATGCCAATACAGCCAGGCGCGCAATAGGCTCCGACCGGCCGTGAGGAGCCAAGGGGCCCGGCGGCCAATGGCTGCACAAGCTTCCTGAAGTGATGATAGACATGTCAAGTTTTCGAAACGCTCGAAGGCCATGAGTAGGGGGTCAATTCTCAGCCACAATGATCTAGCAGCCACGAGAAGGGTGTATTGGGGGCTAGGGAGACCACAGTGACTTAGCAAAATGCACGCAGGAGTTTCCACCTGCGTGGTGAAATAGGGCTCATTCATCATGCCTACTGGTTGTGATAAACAAACCTCCGAAACATGCTGGTGGAAGCGGGGAGCATCCAAGGCACCGCTAAAGCCAGTCCGTGCTCTTGGACGAAGTCCCTCAGGAGTTGTCGCGGCTCTGCATCTTCGCCTCATGGAGATCGGGTGTTTGTGGTAAGAGCTGTGAGGCCTCAGTGGGCTGCGTCCTTGCTCCTAGTAGCGATGCCCTTTGCTCCTAGTAGCTTCTTGCTCCTAGTAGTAAGGCCAGGAGCCCCTAGTAGCGTCCTTGCCTCCAGTGCTGCATTAATGCCAAATGGTTGCTTTAGATCTGAAGATTCGCCTTCCCGCAAAGGCCGCACGACCCAGGTCAGGAAGGATCGATGCGCCTTGGCACCGGGACACTGGACTTGAAGGCCTTTAGAGCATGAACATCCATCGATGCGGAGTCCATGGAAGAAAACGCAAATGGGCACTATCTAAGAATGAGCGGATATGCGAGTGTAAAGAAAGGCACCCAGCAAAAGGTCACAGTCCCCTCTCTGCCGTCACCACCCTCTGCAATTCCCAGTGCCAGGAGGCCCAAAAGCTGCGCAAACCTATCCAGTGCAATTCGATTGGCATGCAAGCTCAGTAGTCATTGTAAGACTTGTTTTTCATTTGCTCAACGTTTCTTTCTTGAGTCATGCTCCCAACGCCAACGGTTCTCAGCGATCGCACGCTGCCACCTTTTGGATCAAATGCCGGTGTAAACCCTTGGTTTCTGAGTCTCACGTCCTAAAAAGTGCTGGAGCGATGCTTGCGAGTGGGCCAGGTCACGTCCAAGGGTCTTCATGCAATGATCCCCAAAACTTGAGAATGGTCGTTTCTCATCACAGTGATTTGTTCCAGAGCTGCATAATGAGCTAGTATTGAGCTAGTATAATATGCTATATAACATATTGTTGATTATACTGTTATGCATTTGCTCATGGAAACTAAAACTGCCATGTCTTTGGACATACTACCGCTGTTCCTTTTAAATTTTAGCGGTAAGGGATTCAGAAGTGGATTCCCCCAGCAGGGTTCTTGAAGCAACGTAAGAGCGTTCGGCAATGAAATAGGCCGCCATACCATCTCCAAACCCAACAATAACCACATCTTTACTTTAAAGGTGTCCGAACACAAAAATGCAGCTCTTCTCACAAGTCTATATAGAGTTCAACCGTTTAACCAATGTCTTCGACCAATAGCTGAGGACATGCTTGAATAAGATTATCGCTGTTGATTGGGTCCTCTCGCTTTTTCAGGTGTTGTCTGAAAATCACGACAGCTTCTTGCTACTAGTAGTAAGGCCAGGAGCCCCTAGTAGCGTTCTTGCTCCTAGTAGCGATGCCCTTTGCTCCTAGTAGCGTCCTTGTTCCTACCCCACCACAGAGTTCTATCACAAATAGGACATCTTTGTCATCTCCGTGTCCCCCACCGGTGTCATAGTTCTCGCATCGCACCACTGGCTGTGAGAAGAAGACCACCGTGTGAAGAAGCTCCACCTGACCGACCGAAGACTGAAGACCGTCCACCGACATGAGACGCGTCCCTGGAAGTTCCCGTCAGCCCTTATTTTGAGAGACGCCACCTCTTGGCAGGCTGTTCTGGCTGTTTCTTCCACTCCACAACTGACAAATTGATGCAAACTGACCCCGAATTGGATTTTCACGAAGAAAACCTTTAGCAGTAGCATATCGTGACAAGGAGGAAATCTTGAGCCAAGCCGACCAACGTCACTATTTCCTGTCAGCTTGCACGTGTACTACAGGAGGCTACAGGAGATGGCAGTGAGCCGGTTCAATCTATCAATGTCCAGAGTAATAGCTATGTAAACATGTAGCATTTGCACCAACATTGCACTTGACACTTTCTCAGAGTCAGTGCTTCCCTGCCTGGAGAGAGGTAAGTTTACAAAGGTCCATAGAGGTCCGCAAAATATCTTCCCGGTGCGCTGCTGTAAAGCGGATCACATCGAACAACCTCAAGGTGAACACAAGCAGCGGGTTTGTATCCTTCGGCCAATACGGCGTATAGTTTTCCTTATCCCTTATCCCTGAGAAGGTTCTGGCTGTTACTGCTTTAACTCCCGCTTTGCCAACGTTGGACATTGTTGGACCAAATGGTGCGTGGCTCTCTGTAAAACAAGAAACTAATGTGGACAAGAAAAACAAAAGCAAACAGAACAATGGAAACAACGGAAGAAGAGACATGGCATCAACAATCTTGTGCTTATCCCTGAGGCGACGCCAAATCAATGGTGACCGGTGTTTTGCAACCACCTTTAAACCCTCAAACCTTGGGTTCAACCCATGCTAAAACAACGGCTGGTTGAAGGGCAGGAATCAATTCCTTTGATGGCGGACGAACACGAACTAACAACACAACGATACTCTAGGGTGTCCAGGTGTCCAGCATATCGCCATGGTTAAGGCACCGAGAATCCAAGATACATGAAAGCAGGCTGATTCTTTTCGACCATTTTAGACCCGTATTTTTGCTCCGAAGTGACCAAGTGCGGAAAGTTTGGCACTTGCTCTTCCACTTCGATGCCTGCGACTGGACCAGTGGGACCAGTTTCCAGTCCAAAGTATCATGGGAAAACCCTCAGTTCGACATGTCAATGTCATGGTAGGCATGGTTGACAGTCTACGGTGGTTGCTGGCCAGTGCTCATGGGATGGCTCTCTTGTGACTGGAACCGTATTGCTGGGGGGAGTCCCTATCTTTCCAGCCAGTACATTCGACTGTCACGGTGTCGAAAAAAAACCTTCGATATATACAGTATGTGATTTTTCCCTTCAGGATTTCCGCACCACGATCTCAATCAGCAACCCTGCTGTGTGGATCACCCAATCTCAATGCTTGCATGTGGATGATTTGCTTTTGCCCAGCCTCACTGAGCCCTAGAAATCTGGAGATGCTGTCTGTCTCCTGAAAAATAGAGCGGGCCGGCTGGTCACTAGCAACTGTCCATGTAGCCTTGTTGAAGGTGCGCCGCACGCAACAAATGACATTGAACTCGTAGAAAGCACAAAATACGAAACTTAGGAGCTGAGATGAACTGAGAACACTGGAACAAACGTTGGTGATTTCATTCAACTTGAGACGATCCGTCTGAGTCATCGTCCTGTCCTCTGTCACGGTGGACTCCGGTGCGGAGGCCAACAGTTGAAGCCTGAAGGATGTTGCTCTGGCTAACCGCAGGATCTAAAAAACTGTTTCATGTCTCACACAGAAGATCACAGAAGTGTTGGTGATGAGGTTTTGTGTTTTTAAGAATGCCATTGCCCTGAACAAATCGTTGGATATGTCCTCTAGTTTTACATATCGCTATCAATGGGGCTCATTGCAAAAGCAATGAGTTGACTGTGAATCTTAGCGTTCACCCATCTAACAATGTAGAATTGGTGGAGTACCACGATGTCCAACTGCACATTTCATCCCAATGAAGAAGCACATTCATGCTTTATACAAAGCGTTGTTTGATTGTTGGCACTGATGCTGTGATGTTGATGAATTTGTATTGTGTGAGTATTGCGCGAGGTGAACTTACTTCGAGAGGTAACTTATAGCTTTATTTATATATATTGTCTGCCGGCCCTGGACCAAGAGGGGGAGCACGAAAGGGAATACGGGGCTGTAGGTCGCAGAACTGAAGTTTTGCGGATGGTTTCAATGCACGGCGAAATGTTTTCTCAATCCCTCCCAGTGTAGCTGAGATTTATAGGGGGTAAACAAGTCGAATATACAGTACGAGAACTAGAACATTGAATGCACTACCAATATCTCGAGAGCTCAGAACGATGATGGCACAAATCCCATTATATAAGTTTTGTAGAAGCAAAAACATGCAGTGGCAGAAACCTATTCTTACATTCTACTTGACAAGCAGGAAAGCCTTGACATCGTAATACTTACAACACCAACAGTGTGTTCCAACAGACAGGAACAACAATAGCACAATATTGACAAGACATGAGGTTGACGATAAATGACAACAACCATAAACAAATAACAAGAAACATACTAAGACACATTTATATCCACTGAAGGCGCCGAGCTGCAACCAGCGGGAGGCCGAACCACTCGGTGGCCAGGGCTTCACCAACCTGGACGAAGCACGTGAGAAACGGGTCAAACTTAGGTGTCAGGGACTCCAATAGAAAGCTCGGTAAGAAACATGTGGGACATTCCAGACAAAACTCGACCATTGAGATGGTTTCAAGATGTGGCAAGGAGGTCTTTGGATCAATAATTGTAGTCGTAGTGAACGCCGACAATCACGGTTCAACGCAAACCCCGCAACAAGTCTAAACACTTTAGATCTGAGATAGTGTACGTAGCAATCCTGTCTTTTGCAATTCATTAAATGTCCGGATATGTTTGTTGCCGGAAAGTCAGTAAACCAAGACCACACATCATAGTGTATCGTCCTTGTGCTGGGGGGAAGGTCCAGAGTTGCTGGCCATGTCAGCGCCAATCTATATTATCTGTTGATAATGTAGATCTGATTCTGACATGTCAGTTTCTCTGAAGTCTATCCCAACTTGCCAAATCTTCCTAAGACTTCTGGGTCATCCACATAGCTCGAAGGCCCTCCAGCAAGAGGTCAGACGGTGTGTGCTCCTCCGTTGCAGCCTCCTCACAATGTCTTGACCAGGACATCGAAGCTGGCAGTGTTAGAGCAATGCTATCGGGCTTCTGTGCTTCACCTTTTTGCCGTTACTTGAGTGGGGGCTGCTTGGGTATGGTGCTCAGCCGGCTTTCAAGGGTACACATTCTCATCCCACCGGCCTGCCTTGGCCTGAGTGCTTGCAATTATATAAGCTCAATTGAACACGATTTGACGATATTGGATGATGGTCTCTCCACCAAAAACATACATCGACATCACCGGATATGTCAGAAGCCCCACTTCGGGAGATTTGGGCGGTCCGATGTGATCCGCTTCCCGTCTCAAGTCTTCTAGTCTTTTTGCATATTCCCTGCAGGCTTAATCTGGAGATGGTATCAAGTCCCTACCAGATGCACCAGGCAGCACCAGTCCTTCTGGCTGTCCTGCACGGCTGATAAATGAAGCTTCGAGCAATCTGACTGGACGGGAAGCCCACTTGTAAAGTGTAACATGCGTGGCAGGATTTTGCTAAGGGATGAGTGGTCCGCAGATTTTAAGGTTCCGGTAGTGCAGCATTACCATTCATGTGCTCCATCAACCTGCGCGAACCCAAAGTACCTTTCTCAGTCGCTATATAGTTGGCAAGCAAAGACACACAAAGACAAAGGTCTTGTATGGTCTTGTATTCTATTCATTCAATCATCCTACTCCTTCATCCATTGAACATACATGTCGTAATCGTTTTGACCTCTTTCTGCCCAGGCCTGTCCTGACGCCCAGCACACTCGCTGAAATCAAAATACACTGGTTGATGTGGCGGAACAGCTTGTGCAACCTGAGCACTCAAGGTGGCCCCAGTATAATTTTATATCTTCCCGCGCACGCCTGTGGGGTTGGATATAATGCGTATACCTGAACAGTGAAGTTTGTCGAAGTCTACGGATCCTATCAAACCGGACGCAACTCGCTTGTGCTTGCCATTTGGAGTTTTCCCTATGAAAGGACCAGCGCCCGAGGCGCTGCGCCGGAATCCCAAGCTACAAATTCCTCGATCTGCTTGATCCCGTATAAACTATGATAAGATAAGATATAACTTATATAACATTTATGTCCCTGATGTTATTTGGCTGCAGAGACTGGCTGGGTTCGCTTCGTCAACCCGAGTTGAGCTGCCCAGCTAGTGCGCGAAGCGTTTGAAGGAACTCCAGCATGCTTAAGCGCATCAGGCAGTGCGCCTGACCAGATCCGCTTGGTCGACTTCAACACCAGTTTCGTTGCCATGGCAGAACTTCTTTACGAAGGAACTATGATGGCCTCCAACCTAATAGCGTCTTTGCTCCTAGTAGTAAGGCCAGGAGCCCCTAGTAGCGAACCTTGTTGCTAATAGCGATGGCCACAAGAGTGCATCACGGGCGTGCCTGCGGAGGGCAAAATTTCTGGAGAAGCTCCCTGCTGGTGGACATGCGCTCAGCCCGGCGGCGCTTGGCTCGTGAGTAGTGCTCGTTGAGGAGGTCCACCTGTCAAAAATATTCAAAAAGGAGATTTCTGGGGGCTTTGGGATGGTTTCAAGCTCTAAAGCACCTAAGTCTACATATAGACTTCAGAAAACAGAATGAAAGGACAACTAATGACAATTGCAACAATTAACTGACCTGCTCCTGCACCGGCAACGCAAATACATCCTTGGCAAGGACACCTACCAAGAATGAGGTCTTGATTGTCCAGAAAGTTCATGCTGTCCGCTCGCCCCGGCCTCTGAAGTGGTTCCGGTCGGATGTTCTAAGTGATAGAAGGTGGTCGCAAATCGGCGCTTCCTTGGCAACACATTGCACCACTGTGGCGGCCAGAGGATCACTAGTGTAGCATCCAGTTGTATATTCGAGGCATTGCATTTGGCCGTGGGTCCGCTGGCCAGGCATGGGACCACAAAGCAAGCGGACTTTTCAAGTAGGTTGAGCACGGTTGAGCACTCAGGCCAAGAGACTGCACAAAAGCTTCAGCGCACAGCAAATCCCTCCCAGTTCGACCAACTGCAATACTGCACTGAGCCCCCCAATTCCAAGAACTACTGGAATTGCCTATAGCTAGCCCACACTTTGGTTAATGATCGAAAAGTGCTCGGGCTGCACCAAGCTACAATTTTTGCTGAAGCCACTTCTCGCCTTCATCCAAGGCGTCTTGCTCCGCCAGCTGTGACAGTGCTTGCTGTGACCTCGTTTGTTCAAAAGGTCTCACAGAGGGAAACGAATAACTCCCTTCCTTCATTCCCATCATATATACTAAATCTCTTGAACAGATTCCCGGGCGCCAAAAGAAACCATGAATTATGCCTCCCCTGATCCCAAACAACAAATCAATCTTGGGGAGGCATCTGTGTGCGTTCCTTCTGGGCAAGGATTATAAATCTGAGGTCCACAGAGTCCACAGTACTGGGTATGTTGCAGGGCTGCGGAGAGTGAAAACCTGTTGCGGTGCGTACAGGGAAAATCCAGCTTATGGATCTGGACTGCACAGCAAACTGATTGCTGCAAATCTATTGCAGCTGCAGAAGCTAGTGTCCTGACATGACATTTGTCACGCTAACATGCTATACTCCAAACCTCTGCAAGAATACATATGTCCATCCTCCTCAACCAATGAGCTGGAGCGTTGGGTGCATTATCTCGAAGTCTTGAAATACACCATAGGCACGCCCGCAGGCTCAGCGCAAAGGACTCCGAAGCTGACGCAAAAGATTGCGACTGATTCCGTTGTCTCTCACGTCAGTGTAGCCAATCTGTCTCAACAAGCTCAAATTTCACTGAAGAGGTCGTTGTACCAGTTTTCGTGGCTTCTTCTGATCGGGCTTCACAATGCAAATGCTGGCGGCCACTTCTTCAGTCTCCGTCCATCCAATACATGCAAAAAAGCTTTCAAAGTACTGTGTATTGAAAGCATTTGAAAGCTATGTTTTGCCAAACGATTATGGACTAGCAGGGAAATGATTACAGTATCTTTTCTGTTTGTTCTCCAATGTTGCGCATCTTGCTTTGCTACGCTTGCATCTTACATGCTGTTGTCTGGTTGTGTCCTCTGTGGCGTTTGTTTTGGAATAGGAGGACTTCAGTGATGCAAAGCATTTCTTCAGCTCCAATGTCAGCGAGAATTATTCCTGTTCCACCGCTCACTCACAACAGTCCTCTCTGCTTTAACTGCACCAGCAGTAACTCCAGCTGTTCCCCCTCCCAACACTTTCCCCGGCCTTGGCAAATCCCCCAGCCGCACTGCGCAGGTCACCATTGCCCGCAAGAGCCCGGCCTCCGGCAGCCCGCCATTCGGCCGCTCAGTGTGCCAAACACCAAGGCACTGCTGCAAGGCCTTGTTTTGCGCTTGGCCAACAAGTAGTCTGGAAGAACGACCCAGTCTTTTTGGATGATAGAATCCGTACGATGGAAGTTTTAGCGGCAACAATGCCTTTCACAAAGCCTTGTTTCTTTGACAAAGATAGATGACGCTCAGCCGCTTAGCGAAGGCCGGGAGCAACCTAGATGGCATCAGCCAACATATAACCCTTCATGGAGTTCAGTCCAACTAGGAACCAAATCATTAGTGCGTGAGCTATCCTGCGTCCAGTTACTAGAAGCCAATTAGTCGCCCTGAGCTTACTCCCTTGCTCATATAATTAAGTATATAGGTCCCTACTTAATTACAGTAAGTAAGGAGGCAGGGCCACGGGTAAAAAAAGAAAGAACAGGTCAGTTGGACTTATGGAGTTCACAGTGCAACTGTCCAGCTGATCATTCCGCCTCTGTGGCCGTCTGCCAATCACCAGCAGTGGCCGCTGCATCAGCGAGCTGTCGCCACAAAGATGCCCTGGGGACGGTTGAAGACTCCTCTCAGAGGTCGTCGTCCGCATGAACGTACACTTCTTCACTCGGAGTTGCATCAGGAGGAAATGGGTCAAGATCGCAACAAAGGACAATGAGTCAAGCTTTTGGCGCAGGTTCACCGTTTGAAGAAACGGCCATTTCAATTCTGTTCTCAAAGCCCATTGTGCCCCAGTTGCTTGCTGAGACACAAAGTGTGGAACACCAAAACTGACCACAATAGAAAATATGGAGACAAATCAAATACCTCATATGGATAAGTGGGGCGTCCTTGGCGACTATCCTGTCTGTGGAATGAAGAACGATTCCAGCTCTCTCAGCCACTGACCAAAGGTTCTGCTTTATGCATGTATAATGATGGTGAGTATAACATAAAATAGTATGAATATAATATGTAGTCCCAACAATAGAAAGGGATACAAAAATATGATTTGAGATCCGTCCTTCTCCAACTTCACTGCGGCCTTCAAACTGGCCAGGGCCTGTCTGATGCGACATGAATCTGGTCACGCAATGTCAACCCAAATGCCAAGGAGACGACTTGAGATGCTCGCAGTGCTTCTGATGTACTTTCTTACATACTTACTTACTTAGTTACTTATTTACTTACTTACTTACTTACTTATTTACCTACTTGTTTACTTACTTATTTACTTACTTACTTACTGTTGATTTAGACCAACCTAATAGCGATGGCCTCCAACCCAATAGCGATTTTAAACTTGCAGAACCACATCCATGGTCTGCCTGCTGCTCCTTTCCAACCAGCACTTGCTGAGCAGCACCCAGGTTTTGCAAGCACAACACGTGGAAGCGCTGCAGCCAAACCCGGTCACCTTGGTGTCGCTCTTGGGAGATCCAAGGTCAGCTCAACAAGTGGATTTGAGGGGTTCCCAGAGCTTTGCTCTTTTGATCCCTTTTGCTGGCTTTGCCAAGGGACAAGTGGTAGCTGGTTGAGAATATATATATTATACTGCATATATATATATATACATGGATAGAGAGAGAGAGAGAGAGATCTCAGAAATAAAGGCATTTGACAACGCACAAGTCATCGCTCCTGAAACGAGTGGGAGTGGGACTTTGCTGTAGTAGAACATGCAGCTCTCTCAAGGACTCCAAGGCACGCTGGTCCGCGGTCAAGGCCAAGGGCACCCCTTGGTCGTCCGACACGAAGACCAAGCGTCGTAGGAGCTCAGCCGCCTCTGAGGCGCGATGCTGCAGCAAAGACAGCGCCGCCTGAGGAATTTCAAAGGCGGAAAAGCCTCTTTTGGGGGGTAGGCCGCTAGTAGAAGAGGTGTAGCTTGAGTAGCTACTGGACGCAGGATAGGTCACGCTATTAATTGGGTTCCTTGATCTTTGGATGTGCCTTCAAGTATGCAAGTTACATATATCATATATCACGCATGTAAGTTGACGACAAAGTATGACAAACTGATTACAATGCTTATCAAATGTCAGAAGTGCAGCAACTGCAGCATTGCACCCTCATTGCAGCAACTGCATCACATAGAATCTTCATCCTTCAACAGCTGGAAATCAAGGGACCACAGGTATCCACAGGCGGCAGTGCCGGTTTCAGAGTCAACCCTTCGACTATATAACCTACAGGAAGGTCCTGCGATGCCAGAGAAGTTGAAGTTTTATATGTCTCTGGAAAGTCATAGTTAACCCATGTTAACCCCCTCAACGACTGGCTGGGATCAACTCATCCGCCAGTCCCACCTCATATTCTATTCGAAGTTTGGCGCGGTCGATACCACTCTTCCTCAATTGCTCTTCCTGGCAAACATGGGTAGCATCCGCAAACAGCAAGGCAAAATCTTGCAACCATAGAGGCACATGCTGATTTCTTCTTGACCCAAGTTTCTGTGCTTGTTTTCTAGAAGGGTGTAAATACAGATTGAGACCAGCTTCCTCCAGCATGACATGTCGTGACCCTGGGAGGTCCCATCCATCCGAGTGAGGTCGCCTCGGCTGGGCCAAGTTGAGCAAACTTCAGCATCGTCCTCGGAGGTCCGGCCACTGCGAGATGTGACACAGTGAAGCTCCGTGGTTTTGAGTTTTGGAGTGTGACATTCTGTGATATTGCACTTGAAGTATCACCGCATCGCTGTGGAACTCTCAGTCTCATGTGGCATTTGTGCATTTGTTGTCCACTACATGGTGGAGTTAAGAAAAATTGGATTCATCGATCGATCAACAATCAATCAAAGTGAGGAAACCCACCTCCCGGAAAGAAAGACAGAAAGAACTTAAGTTTCCCTAAACATCTAGGAACCAAATGAATAGTGTGAGCGCTCAAGCTACTAGCTACCATTCTACTTCTACTAGCTACCTAGCTACCTGCCTTTACGGTGGCCTACCTCCCCTTAAAAATAAAGTCAGAAAGGTTTCGTCCATCCGCGTCAGTTCTCCTCACATCTCGGCCCTCTCGGTCGCTGGCAGCGACATTGGCACATCAGACTGAAACTCAGACTGAAACATGTTGTCTATGTAGTGCAGGTTAGCTCTGCTTTCTTGGACGCATGCGCAAGTCTTTTAGATTCTTTTAGTAGAAGCAGGAAACTGGTGCGTCCAAGAGGTTTCAACATCAAAGGACTGACTGCCTGCGTTTGGATTCGCTCTAATTGCTTGGCCTCGTTGCCTGCTGCACACTCACGACGGAAACCTTCTCAAAAAAACCGTTGCCCTTCTTGCTGGGCTCTTGTCTGATCTATGTACAGCTTGCGATCAAAATGACCCGGTGCAGCCATGTCGGCAGCAAGCAAGCTCAGGTCTGAAAGAATCGTATTCGGGTAAGGAAAGGAAGAATGGCTCAAGAACCTGTTCTGTTGATACTAATCATCTCAGTGTGACATGTACCTCCTCACCAATTTGTGTCGAATTGGAACTCTTGGGTTGGGGCGAAAGCACTCAAGCTGGTTGTTATTTGGGACCAAGCCAAGCTTGGTTCAGTGTCATCACCCAAGCCGAATTGCCCGAGAGTCTCGAAGCTGTCGAACGCTTCAGGGAGTTTGCTTTGCTTTGGCAAAGGTAGCGCATGGTAGCACCGTCGTTTTTGGGCCAGTCTTTGGGCAATGTAACGTCGAGTCACTATGGTGAAGTACGGAAGTGAGAATGTCTTGATCTAGGAAAATCTCGTCCATGGCCCAGTCTTCTTGTTGCACGATTCCAGAGGTAGCGGCTTTGAATCAACTCACCGCAGCCTCGCGCCAGAATTGGACCTGTAGCACTTGGAGAAAGGAGCAACATGGCTTCCGCAGTAGACAAAGGTAGATATGAATCTCAACAAGGTCGTGCCTACGGGCGCATCAAGATTCTGAGACTACACAGCCATGAAAGGAGGACAAAAAGGAGAACTGCCTCTATAATTGTAAATGAATTGCTATTAGGATGAGAGGTTGTGCGGGCGATTTAATAACTATAAAACTTTCTGACTCAAGAAAAGGCAAGAAAATGAAAGCGGGTTCAAGGACAACACACTCTATAAAATGCAAGCAGATGCAACAAATAATAAAAACATATCACAAGAGTAGAGTGTCAGCAGCTGGCTTCCAGAACATGGTTCTACACAACGCTTGCTGCAATTTGAAGACAGGGCCAAAGGTTGGATTTGCAATGGTTTGCATTTTCTAGCGAGCTCTTCATTCATCTTTGTCAATGCTGCACTTAAGGTTGTGAAGGACCAGTTCATAAAAATGGCTTGAGTCCAAGGCCAAAAGAAGCAGGCTCTATAAAATGCATCCATGACTTTTCACTGCCCTTAGAAAATGATATGCCCAAGGTCTCCTTCAAAATTGGCTCTAGAAAATGGTTTGTTTTGCCTCCGATCTCTGCAACACACAACATCAACACCATCCAGTATTAAAAAATACATACTCATCCATCCAGAATCATCCAGATATATCAGAAAATGATTCTCAAAAAATAGCCCTTCTGCAGTAACAGGGTTAACCCTACCCAATCATTTCCTAGAGGAAATCCTAATGGAGATACAAATAAGCATCAGGGGCAAGTCGCCCAGGGTTGTGCAAAGATTGCGCAGTTACCAAGCCTCGTGCGCACGCTGCTTTAGACAGAAGTCGCCCGACTTGTGACAAGTCACCCGTGCGGAGGCTAACACAAGGCGCACATAATTTCAGACGTCGTTTGGCGACTCTTTCAAGGGTTGCGTCCGTGCTATAAGATTCCGCAAGGTTGATTATTTCACTAGCAGAACGCAACTAATCTGTCCAAGCTTGTGCACGCAGGGAAGAATTGGGCAACATTTTCAAGCACCTGAGCAAACGTGAAGAACCAAACAAACACATCAACCTGCACGCGCACGCCATATCATAACCACTTCATACGGACCAAGCAAATTCACACAACTCCTGGTTAAAAAAAAGTCAGATTCAAGAAAGAGCTCACAAAATATTGTCTGATAAAACAATCTGGCACTGGCACGATGGAGTTTTTCAGAAAACAGGAAGCAAGCACATCTGTTGACCAGTCCATGTTGAATCTTCAGCTCCACTTGAGACTCCTTTGAGAAAACAAAACTAGACTTTGGGTTTCTGCAGCTCGCCTTGAAGCCTTGATTCAAGGTGGACAACCTAGCAGCCTCCTTCACTTAACTAGCCAAAATGTGTCAGCCTGCCAAAAAAACAGGCAACGCAGCTACAGTCGATTACAGTAACCAGGTTTGAACCCATCACGCTTGGTCGCACAACTGCACGCACAACAAGGCGCATGGTCTTCAAGTATAGTCTCAACGTTGACTCCCAAGCTGGGCTGCACCCTCCCAGGCCTCTGTCTCGGGGGGAAAGCATCCTCTTTCACTCGACTCTTGTCAGGCCACAAGCATTGTTTCTTTTTCAACAACCTAAGATAAGGATTGAGAAGTGGGAGTCAAAGTCTCTTCTTGCCAGTTTCTCACTGTGCACCACAAAATAGACGCTGTTAGGACCTTAGGATCTGTTAGGTATCTATCCTGCTATCCTGCCTAGTATTCATCCTTCCGGCCTTCCGTACCATGTTTGCCTATGCCAACTTTGAGTTTTAACGCAGTGCTGAGAAAGTGTAGCTACTGGGATGTGAAAAGGCACTTTCGGTCCTCTAAGCCACCTCCAAAGCCACCAAAGGATGCAGGCGCCTGCGTTTGATGCTCACAAAAATTCATTAGGAAAGCCGCGTATATAGCATATATTGAGAGAGAGAAGGATTGCCATTTGAGGGACTACTTTGTTGGGGCAATCAGGCAATCTACCAAGTAGCAAACAAAGTATGAAGCTTGGGCTGGCCCCTGTACAGATTGGCGGTAAGGGTACCGTGTGCCAGGTGGCCCTCCTATCCGTTTGGGCTGCTTTTGCAGCTGCTCCGGCTGTTCTACATGTGGTCTTTCAAAGAGTTTGTCTGATGCTCAGGAATTCAGGAGCCAACCACCAAGGCTTTCCCGTCCTGAACGCCATTCCGAGGAGGAAATGCATCCTGACACGGTAGTCAGTGGTAAGGTTCGTGAAGAGTACAAAGCTACGCAACCACAAGTCTTACGAGGCTTCTTGCTACTAGTAGTAATGTCAGGAGCTACTAGCTTCTTGCTACTGCAAGCCGTTATCTGACTGCTCATCTGAGAATGTGAATCGGTACAAGCGCCACAGGGCAGGCAAGCGAGTCTAGAATTAATATATATAAGTATAACTTGAACGCCTTGACCAGACCAAAGACTTTGACCTCATACCATCCGGCGTTTCTAAGATGAGAATCCTCGCGGACTCCAAATACTGTGTGTGCAGTAGACACACTACAGAAGACAGCAGTACCTTCTCTTTCAGTGTTGGGACTGCTTGGGTTGTATGCTTCCGACACATGTGCTGTAGTGTACGTGGTTCCAAGATGTTCCAAGATGTCCAACAAAGACTCGTAGTCGCTGGGGCTATGCCCATGAAAGCCCCAAGAAGCCCGATCACGCACAGTAAACATGAGCACCTAACATCGCCAATGAGTAAATATTGTTTTCAAGTAAATAAATACTTTCAATATCTGCCTTTCAAGCAGACTGGCATTAATAACTATTGAGCAAGACTTGCCATTCCTCTGTAGATTCTACAATCACATGATATTCTCTGGTCTACAAGCGACTGAGCGAGGTTACTCTGCATGTAATTATATACATACTAATCAAAACGACAAAGCCTCCCAAGTGTAAAAACAAGCTTTTCCGCCTCCAATCCACCACTGAACCCTCGCGCCAAAGCATCCTGAAGCCGTTGGCTCAGAGATTGCTTTTTATATGGATACAACAGTACGAGCGCAACCCTCACTGCACTGACGTAATGTGCTCTCTGATTTCTGCTAGTCCGAGGTCAAAGCATAAATGAAGGGAGTTGCTGCGCGCTTGGTAGAGAACATCCATACTTTTTGCTTTCGGACGGGGTCTTTACAAAGAGAGTACATTAGTTATATATATATATATTTGTATAAAGAGAGAGCGAGAGAGAAAAAAAACAAAGGCAGAGAATGCTAGTCCATTAACTGCCACCCACCCGGCAGCTGCACCTCAGCGCTGGCCCCACCTGCTGAATCCGGTGGTTGCAGCACATGAGCCAAAGCTCTGCTGTAAGGTTTGTAATTATGCAAGGTGTCTCGCTAAGCACGCCAACACGTCACTTCACAGCAAGGTCGACATGCTTCAACCGTCATGTTACCAGTCCTAGGGCCTACGGTAAGATGGGTGGCCCAGAAAGCAGCTCTCATTGCACAAACGTCATGGCAAATCTTGCTCATGTTTTCTTGTTCAACTCACAATTGTTGGATGTCATTCAAGAAGTGATGGTCAGTGGCTCACACCGCGTTGCACAAAAGGTGAGCTTCTCAAAATGTTTGGCCGGCATTCATGTCAATGGACTATGCAATCACCTTCCTGCAAAACAACACTTGGACTCCATATCCAGAAAATGCACGTAATAGGTCTAGGTCTAGGACCTTCCCAGAAACCTGGTGAGGCACATGTATGCTCTCCAAGGAAAGTGGCTGCACCTCTTCGTGGTGGAAACGCATCTTCCAAGGATCCTTGAGGATACTGGAAGATCTTCAAAGACAAGGTTCTTGTTTAGCCCGCCCTTATTTTATTTAGTAGCCGCCTACTTAAGTAAGTAAGGGCTAGTAACACTATTAGTATGGTTCCTAGTTGACCATTGGTTGAGCAGGAAAGTGAAGGCCGGGCAAATCCTACCTGATGGCAGGCATTCGAGAGTGCCTTGGAACGAAAAGATTATTTTCTGGGTTCCTAGTGAAGACTACATAACCTTTTGCGTAAACGGTCTCTCCAACCTCCAACTCAACTCAACAGAGACCCAAAAACCACGGAAGAGAATTGGACAAATCTCACGTCATCTGAAACTTGGTCTTTGTTTTGAACTAGGTCAAGCCTATGATCCCTGTGTCCCTATGTTACAAGACTGATTTCAAGACTATCATGTCAAACACAATGTTGTCTAACACTGG